TTGGTGAGCACTGACCCCTCTCGCTCTTCAGGCTTCAGTGAAGGCAACCCGAAGCCTCTGGAGCGTGGTGGGAGTTCCCGCTGGGCTCCGGAGGCTTCGGGTCCCTATTGACCTGCTCTTTGGGGCTGACTTTCCCCCACCGCCAGCCTCAAAGATCCCTGAAGCCTTCGGAGCGCAGCACGAGTTCCCGCTGCACTCCAAAGGCTTCAGGGGTAGCCACCGACCCCTCTCATTCTCCAGGCTTCAGCAAAAGCAACGCGTAGCCTCCGGAGCACGGAGGGAGCGCTCCTCTGCCCTTTGGAGGCTTCATGTTGCTTTCGCTGAAGCCAAGGAGCCTGCATTCGCTCCATAGGATGCACACACATTTCCCTTTAATTTTTGGAGGGGAAAAGTGTGTCCTATAGAGCGAAAAATACGGTAATCAACCGCCACCCCACAAACATATCAGAATGAAAGCTCAATGATATTGTCTAACCTCCACATATATAAACTGACCTCCGAATAAGCTTTGTGCAAGCAGAGCCAGTGTGGTGTAGTGGTTAAGAGCGGTAGTCTCGTAATCTGGGGAACCGGGTTTGCGTCTCTGCTCCTCTGCATGCAGCTGCTGGGTGACCTTGGGCCAGTCACACTTCTTTGAGGTCTCTCAGCCCCACTCACCTCACAGAGTGTTTGTTGTGGGGGAGGAAGGGAAAGGAGAATGTTAGCCGCTTTGAGACTCCTGAAGGGGAGTGAAAGGCGGGATATCAAATCCAAACTCTTCTTCTTCTTCATCAGAATGAATGCTCAATGAACAGATTGTCTCGAGGAGCCCAAAGAGAGGGATATCTATCCACAGCAGGCCTGACACACTTTGCTGTGTGAGACGGCAGACAGGGCGGCCTCCTCCCCTTCCACTTACTAAAGCCAACCAGATGGGTAGCTGCATCTTAGTGAGAACATCCTCCATTGCACCTGCGGGCAGAAAGCTCACTTAGGGGGCTCAGGGCAGGCTGCGCATGGCTCTATGCTCCCAATGCCTAACCCCGGGAGAGAAAGTTGATTCAGTTCACATTACAGACAAACGTACCTAATTTGCACTTTCTGAAACAATGTGGCCATCCTATAAAATTTGCATTTCTCTGAATTTTGTAGTGCTGTTCTCTGGGCAATTTTTTTTTTTTTTGCAAAAATGCATACACTGCACTAAATTGCACATAAAAATGCATGTAACAAAAATACACTGTATTAGGGGAGATTGTTTTGCAAGAATATGCATTAGGCATAAAACCGATTAGGAGAAATTCTGGCAAAAGTGCTGATTCTTTCAGTGGGTGGGTGGGGAAACCATGACAGTTTCAAGTGGCACAATATTGCTTTAAATGAATAGTGCAGATGGGGCCCTTGTATAACCTCCCCACAAACAAATCAGAATGAAAACTCAATAAAAAGCTGTCATCCTGTGGGCAATTTGCACGCTGTGTGCAATTTTTTATACAGATCTGCCTTCTCTTTGTTAGTGATGCACAGGAGGCCACCAAGAGTGAGTTCAAGATTTTTGTCTAGGTGGAGAACATTCAGACCAATTCAGCACTAATCCTCAAACTAGACAGACAAAACATCCCTATATACCATGGGGCAGAACATAACTCTAACCGTGCCAGAGAAACTGACACAGCTCCTTACTCTTCTGGTGGGTACTTGCCTGGGCATGAAATCCCCTTTCCTCCTCCCCCATTCCCTTGTAAGAGCACCACAGTTCTTTGATAAGTTGGTTTCCATGGCAACGAGGCAGCATCTTCAGAGATGAGCATAGCTGGGAGACAAGCAGAGAATGTTTCAATTTGTTGCTACGGGCAGGAAGGGTCGGTGCGGCGTGAAAATACCTTCCTTGGTGATGGAGGGATCCTGGGAGATTAGTTCTTACCAGGTCAAGCAAAGATTTTAAAAACATACTTGGCATTTGCCTCTCTTTTGTTAGAGGCGAGGTGAGCGCAGTTGCGGCAGAGTGGCAGTACAGAAGGGGAATGATCCGTTCCTGCGGCAGGGCTGGTGGCGGCAAGCCTATCAATTCCCTTGTCCCCCCCCCAGGTAATTCTGCCTGGTTCCTGGCAGCCTTACCACATTTTAACCAAGTATGGCAAAAGAAGAAGAATGAAAACTTCCGCAGAGTTTTATTTATTCATTTTATTTATTTGTTACACTTGTTATTATAGCTCCCCCCCCAGACTGAGAGATAGGGGCTGACTCAAGGTTGCCCAATGAACTTCATGGCTAAGGTGATTTGAACTCTGGTCTTTCCCAGGCCCTAGTCCAACATGCTAACCACCCTGTGTGCAACCACCATGTACAACCACCATGACACCACCCTGGTTCTCCTTTTTCATAGAATGATAGTATTGTATAGTTGGAAGGGAGTCCAACTCCCTGCAATGCAGGAATCTCAGCTAAAGCATCCATGACAAATAGCCATCCAACCACTGCTCAAAAACCTCCAAGGAACCAGAGTCCACAACCTCTCAAGGGAGACTGTTCCACTGTCGAACACCTCTTACTGTCAGAAAGCTTTTCCTGATGTTTCATTGGAATCTCCTTTCTTGTAACTGGAAGCCATAGGTTCCAGTCCGGCCCTCCAGAGCAGTTTTGCTCATAAGAAAATATACAAACAAACCTGTCTGCACAGGTTAAAACCAAATGTTCTCCCTGCTGTTTAATGCTAAAATTCATTACACGACCAAAAGGTGCTCCATTGCTGGAAAATCCTCCTCCTAGCTGTGTTATCATGGGACATCAGTGAGGAGTGGGTCACCGTAGCTCTGTGATACACTATCTGCCCATCATGCAAAAGGTCCCAGGTTTCATCCTTGGCATCTCCAGGTAGGGCATTGAGACACTCCTGTCTGAAAACCTTGGAGAGCTGCTGCCAGGGGTGGCTGAGTGCTGCTTGGGACTGGTGGGCTAAAGGCAGGGAGGCCCAACAGTAGGTGGCGCCAGAGCCAATAGCAGGCAGAGGCACTCCTTGACTGGATATAAGTGAGAAGGTGGGTTGAGGCAGGCAGGGCACTGCTCTATTTGTCCTAATGGTCCAGCCACCATTGGCTGCTGCTGCTGCTGCTCAGATTGGGCAGTACCATGGTACCTCGGGTTACATACGCTTCAGGTTGCATACACTTCAGGTTACACACTCCGCTAACCCAGAAATAGTGCTTCAGGTTAAGAACTTTGCTTCAGGATAAGAACAGAAATTGGGCTCCGGCGGCGCGGCGGCAGCAGGAGGCCCCATTAGCTAAAGTGGTGCTTCAGGTTAAGAACAGTTTCATCTCACCCTCCTCTCTTCTCCTCCAGCACATTTCTTATAATTTCCCATCGTGAAATTAATGATTTTTATCAGAAACATACTTCCCTTTGGACCTTGGTTACCCAGTCCTTGTTTTGGAATGCTTACAATAGGGGGATTGACTTCCTTTTGAAATCGCCCCCGCTCGTGCCAAATCCAAAATTTTGAACCCGGTTTCCCAATTACTCACGGGTTGTTGTTAATAGTCCAAATTTTCAATAGAAGAAGTCAGCGCTCTCCGTCGAATGGCATGCGGCTGCGCTCGGCAGGGAAAGCAGTGGACTCAAAGCACCACGCCACTCCCCGGCACCCGATCCGAAGCCTTTAAAAGGGCTCCTTCACGAGTCGGGAGGGCGCTAATGGTGCAAGCCGAGTCACCCATGTCCACGGACTCCGTGCCCGTGGTTTTTAAGGGTCCCCGCGTCGCCGGCGCGGTAGGACCCAGCCCCTGCCGAGCAGACTCCCTCCGGAGCTCGGAGGGAGTCCGCCATTCGGCGATGGCGCTAACCCGGAAGAAAAAGGGAACCGGGGCGATTCGTGGAGCCTGGTGAAGAGAGACGGAGATTTTGACAGCTGTCAAAGTGGCTGTCAAAGCTGGAGAATATAAAGAAGACTTTGTTATGAGGACCTTGCTGGTTAATTTTGTTATAATTTGCTATAATATGGATACAAACTGTTGGAAAATAAGCAACAATTTGACTTTTGGATTAGAGGATACAAAGTTATTACAATCCCCCTAGAGGGGTCTCGGGATACTACAAGAACGGTCGTAAGTGGAAAAATACCCTGGGATTCGCACAGGATTTGTTATCTTCTGGGAAAGCTGCAAAACTGAAAGAGTATTTTGTCTACAGAGGAAGACAATGTATATTTTTATTGAAGAAAGAAAGGGACTGGACGTAAGTTTTTGTTCCTGAATAACAAACCTCTGCAGAGACACTAGATTTCTGAATTAGAAAGTTTTAGCAGCTGAACAGGACAAGAAACCTGAGAAAGTGAGGAATAAGAAGAATAAAGGACTGATTACGACACGGAAAGAACAACGGGAGGAATGGTAAAGATCAAGGAAATTAAAGGCCTTTGTTAGATTGGACATTTGAAGTCAAATATTATTTAAATTAATAAATTAAAAGAAAACCGCAAGATGGAATCGGGAGAAATCTGGTCATGAAATGAGACTTCCAAGCTGATAATGGACAGACGGATGGACAGGTGGAATTCAAACCGGGAAGGGGGAGATTTGAAATCCAAAGGCTGTGTAACCATTTTTTGAATTTTTCTATATCTCTTATTTTCTATTTCTTTACATAACTTACGCATGTTATTTTACTTTGATCGGACGTGCTTAAAAAAAGGGAATTTGTGGAAGGAACTGGGGTGGATCTTGGGGAAAATCTTTTTTCTTTTTCTGTTAATGATGTGGGACGGTGGTAAGATTTGTACAATTCAATCTGGATAGTGGGTTAAACAAATTAAGCTTTAAATTGGGAGTGAGAGCTTGTAGAACCAAATTAAGGAAAGGGGAATACAATTGGGGGAGGGGGAGTCCCAGAAAGTAGGGAATGAAAGTAAGATTTTTAAATATCTTCTTTCTTTTGTCTTTTTTCTTTGTATTTTTATATTTTTGGAAACTTTAATAAATATGATTTAAAAAAAAAAAAAGAACAGTTTCAGGTTAAGAACGGACCTCCGGAACGAATTAAGTACTTAACCCAAGTTACCACTGTACTGAGCTAGATAGACCAGTGGTCTGACTCGGTACAGTGGTACCTCAGGTTAAGAACTTAATTCGTTCTGGAGGTCTGTTCTTAACCTGAAACTGTTCTTAACCTGAGGTTCCACTTTAGCTAATGGGGCCTCCTGCTGCCGCTACGTGATTTCTGTTCTCATCCTGAAGCAAAGTTCTTAACCCAAGGTACTATTTCTGGGTTAGCGGAGTCTGTAACCTGAAGCATCTGTAACCTGAGGTACCACTGTATAAAGCAGTTTCTTATGTTCCTACGTTTGTACAGCCAAAATGCACTTCTAGCTTCTGTAGGCCACTGTCTAGAGAACTGAGCGGCCCCTGAGGATGCAGAATAGGACTTATTTGTGGGTAGAGATGTTGGGAAATGCCATCAAAAAATGGCCACTTCATTTTTTGTTCCGGTGTTCACTTTCAGGGCAGACTGAGCTTGGTGAGAAAGTGCCCCATTTGCCCTAACAACCCAGCATCCACTGTCCAGATTCACTGGACTGCAGCTTCCCATCACCCCCCCGACCCCTCGCCATGCTGTCTGCTGGGAGTTGGAGTCCAGCAATATCTGGAGAGTGGCAGGTTAGCTATCCCTGCTTCAAAGCACCAAACCGGCAAATGAATAATATCCTCCTTAAATGTAAGAGAATATTAAGGGCTGAACCATTGCGGCACCCCCCCCCCCAGCGCACAATGAGCAAGGAGAGGTTTTGTACAACAAAAATCCAGGCTGAATCAATGCCAGTCCTGCTGTTTCAACCCCGGCTTCGCTCTGCTCAGGCTCTGGGAGCTGCAGATTTCGCAACGCATGAATGATTTATTCAGTTCTCTCTGACAGGCGGCTTGTTATGCTTAAAGGCAGCCCACCAAATTTGGCCTCAGAATGGGGAAAGCAGAGCATCCCTGCCCCTCCAACCCCTCTCCGCAGCATGAAGCCAACGCTTGCCAGTGCTATTATAATTTAAAAACAAATGCAAGCATCCCAAGGGACAGCGGTTGCAGTAGCCTGTGCATTATGGATGTCTTCATGTCGTTTCCCCTCACTGACGGTTTCTGCCCTCTGTGATCACTCTTCTCTCCCCCCAGCCTTAGAAAAAGGAGGAAAAGGAAGCTTTGGATCAACATTGCCTATCGTATGTTGTATTTACCACCCAGCATTTCCTTGGATTTCCCAGAGCCATTGCTGGAACTCTGGGGACACTGCAGCCAGGTCCAACATACACTCAGGTTGTGATGCTACACACTAGGGATGCGGGTGGTGCTGTGGTCTAAACCACTGAGCCTCTTGGGCTTGCCGATCGGAAGGTTGGTGGTTCAAGTCCGGTTGCTCTGTCCCAGCTTCTGCCAACCTAGCAGTTCGAAAGCACACCAGCGCAAGTAGATAAATAGGTACTGCTGCAGCGAGAAGGTAAACGGTGTTTCTGTGTGCTCTGGCACTCATCACGGTGTTCTGTTGTGCCAGAAGTGGCTTAGACATGCTGGCCACATGACCCGGAAAGCTGTCTGGGGACAAACGCTGGCCCCTTTACGTTACTTTACTTTTGCAAGTCACACTTATCTGGAAGTGTGATCCCTTGAACTCAACAGTAACGATTTCTGGCATGCATAGAACTGCATTCTCAAAATGCATGTCTTTCCATTGGTCCATCAAACTCGGTCCTCACTCCTGCTGAAACTGAATCACTGGGATTTCAGTTCAATGGAGTTTCAGGCAGGAGTTTTCCCTAGCTCTGTTGGGGTGTGTCATGGACTGATCCAGGGATTTTCTGCAGAGTATTTTCTCTGCCACTGAGTTCTGCCCCTTCTGTAGCTGCCTCCCTTACCTTGAAAGAAAACTCAGTTCTGAGTCTAATATCTCACAGAGTAATGCTGTTCCTGATCCTTTGCCCCAGTGTACTTCAGACAGAAGATGAAATGCGTTTGGTCCTTTTGATGTAGAATGTTCTCCAACAGTCATGTATTAGAGGAATGTTCACCCTCCGTTTGATGTTTGCATTTGACACCCTATTATATTGGATTTTAATATATGGTGGCTGATATGTGATACAGTTTGACAGATGATGCATGATGGCATTTCATGCCTGATGTTGTTCAACGGTTGTCATGCAACAGTGCTTAGTATTTTGAGTGTGCTTCATAGTTAACATGCAATGGTATCAGGATAGGAATGGTGCTTTTGTTTTTTGTTTAAATTGCATTCACTGCTTGGCACCGGCCAGAGGTGGCCCTGGCCAAAAGAACAAGTGGGAGGGGCCAGAGGCAAAATGGAAGAATCCATAGATGTGAATCTTATCTCTGTATAGTAGGCTGCATTCTAGCTATGCAAGAGCCAGAGGTTTCCATGTGCCTTCCCCAACATCTTTCCTTCTACCACCGTAGGCTGCAAAATGTCTTGGGCGCCCCTCAAGCTCTTTTGCTTCTGAATACCAGTACAGTGGTACCTCAGGTTACATACGCTTCAGGTTACAGACTCTGCTAACCCAGAAACGGTGCTTCAGGTTAAGAACTTTGCTTCAGGATAAGAACAGAAATCGGGCTCCGGCGGTGCGGCGGCAGCAGGAGGCCCCATTAGCTAAAATGGTGCTTCAGGTTAAGAACAGTTTCAGGTTACGAACGGACCTCCGGAATGAATTAAATACTTAATCCACTGTAGCTGGATTCTGGAAGCCACAAGAGGAAGAGCGCTGCTGCACTCAGGTCCTTCTCATGGCCTTCCCAAAAGAGGCATCTCCTTGGCCACAGTGAGAACATGAGGCAGGACTAGATGGGCCAGTCGCCTGATCCAACAGAATCTTAGGTTCTTTGACAGCTGCTCCCAGTGAAACGGAAGACACACTTATGAATTGACTGGGAGTTGCCACTCGCTTCCTCCCTTGCCAAGGGCAATTCTGTTCTTCACCCTAATGCACACCGAGATGACGCCACCCTCACCCTCCAGATCTCCCAATGGAATCCACCCAGCAGCAACAGCTCTCCCAAATTCAAACACACAAAGTGTCTCCACGGCAATCCCGGCAGGAGCCACCGAAACATCAACGTGAGTTGGCATTTTGTGCAAAAACAAACATTCAGACGGTCATTTTTTAATGAAATAGAAAACAATTATTTCTGAAAACTGCAGGAAAGTGCTATTGTCTTCTTAGCTGTTCACCTTTTGCTTCCCGTTGTGGCTGGTGAGGATCCAGGAGGAGAACCTCTTAATAGCCTTATTGCTTATTAATTGGGCAATTAAAGGGATAATGTGGAAAAGAAAGCACCTTAAAATGCAGTGTGGAAGTTAATGAGATTCCCTTACAGGCCTCCTTGGTTGGCCTGCATGTTTCCATAGCAACTGCCTGACCCTCGGGCCTTCAAAGCTCCTCGCTGCTCCACCCCTTCCCTGCTAAAAGGACACAGCTCCTCTCTGCCCCAGGCACTGGGAGAGGATTTCTCCAGCCTTTCCTTGTCCCCCATTCCAGCTTTCTTCCCCCTCCACGACCTGCTCCTCTCAGCCAATGCTATCTCTGTCCTTTCTTCTAGGGTCCCTCTGTAGAGTAGGAGACATGGCCACCCTAACCCCTCAGGGGCCCTGAAAAGTAATCTACCATTTGCTTCAGGTGATAAAAGTCTCGTGCATACTAGCAAAGGAAGTCCAAATTAAATATAGGTGAGAAATTAGATTTCCTTTGCATTTTCATGAGAAACTACATAATTCATGCTTCTCGAACAGAACAGAGCTATCCTTTGAAATGTTCACTTCTCCGAATTTTGCAATGCAGTGCTCCAAAGTATGCATTAAAATGCATATAATTAGGTGAAAGCGCATTACAATGTGCATATTAGTGAAAGTATCATATAAAAATGCATAGTATTACAGAAAATTGCTCGAAAAATGTCTATATTGGGCAAACCTCAGCACAAAATTATATCAGGAGAAATTTGCACAAAAATGCTGATGAATTTTCTTGAGGAATTTAAAAAAAAGAATCTCAACTTGCTGTGGTACTGCAGAGGACTTAAGTTTAAGCTGGGAAACTGAGAGAAACCAAAATTGACAGGTGAGTTTATCCCTAGTCTAAATAAGCAAGCAGGTCAAGGTACAGAAGGGTGCAGACTTCATCTCCAACAGAGAATTGTACAAAAGAATTCAGAGTTCTGCTTTTTCAGGCCTTGCAGAGATGTGAAGCAACCCACATAAAACAGTCCAGACTGGGAACTGATAATACCCGTCTGCTGATGTTGAGAAAGTGATTGAGTGATGGAATGAACTGATGACCCCTGCATTTTGTCTGCATTGCCGAAGTCTCTGTGGTCTCCTCTTGGTGGGATCTCGGTTTCCAAACTTAGCATTTCCCAGGTGGCGTCAGAGGAAGCTTCATGCGGATGCCACTGTTTCCATCTATCCAACCTCTCACCCCGGAGCTGCCAAGGGGAATAGCCTCAAAGACTTTGGATCTGGGACGCTTTCCAAGTCTGAAAGTCTGAGAGGATTTGCAGCTCTGCCTAAGCGTGTCAGTTATTTAAACTTTTCGTTTTTAGAAAGAAGTGCTCTCAAAACCTATGCACACGATTATGGGGCTGAGGAGAGAAGGGGTGGTGCATTCAACACAGTTTTTAGAAATGCAAGAGGATATGCTTTGCTTTTACCATTCAGAGAGTCGTGGAAAAATCAATAGTGGAGGAGAAAGCAGGGCAAACTTAATTCTTTTTCAAGGCAGTTCAGTTTGCCTGTGTGTGTGGCATTCACATCACATTGGATCCTATTCAGTGGTAAGGCAGAAAGCAGAAAAGCCAATGGCTGGTTTCAAGGTCCAGATTGGATGATTACAATGCATTCTTTGAAGATGACTTTGCAACAAAGGAGAGACGCTGTTTGGCGGTAGTCCACCACTTAAAGAATGCTCTCCCCAAAGAGGCACACCTGGTACCTTCATTGCAATCTTCTTTGTGAAGACTGTTTTCCCAAGCTGTTTAATTTCAATCTAGTTTCCCCCCCCCACCAAATTGCTGTGTTTTATAGTGGTTTTAATTGGTTTAGCTGCTGTGTTTTATACTAGCCATGATGGCTATGTTCTCTCTCCACCACTAGAGGCAGT